CGCCGCCGCCAACTGTAAGTAACACAACATACCTACAACTAATTATACTTACCCACGATATCCACGGATTACAATGGAATACCCTAATTCAGTTTTAGTCAACTTTACGCGTTTGATAAATCGTCATGCAAAGAACTTTGCGTTGAAGACTCGAGTCATCTCTGGACTTTTCCAGACTAGATGAGACTGCAGAAATTCTTAACCGGATAGTGAACGATTCTGTGTTGACCTAAATAAAATTGTTTACAAACACTTGTGAAAAGTTTAAGTATTTCGCTGCGAAATTACAAAAAAACTTAGTGGATGTTGGTACAATATTGGTGTGTGTGATCGTGAATTATCTTCCTTATACCAAGCTTTTGAGTTAAACATCGAAAGACATGAATACAAAATCAGTCGGAAATATTATTTGATATGCTGAGTAATGACGAGAAGAGAATTGACCATATTGACGTAAAACGAGAGAACAAAATTTGCCAAGTAACTATCTGTTTGAGACTCAAGTATACCACTGTATTTGACAAAATAATCAACAAAGACACGAAAGAAGTACGATATGAAATATAGAATGAGAACTTGAAAACTCCGGACCTTAGAAATGGACTTGAAAAATCTTGTTAAAAAGAAAACCTGAAAGTCGAACTTCAATAGTGTGTGGAGATTTGAGACCGCAGCGTATCTACCTGAAAGTAATATCTGAGACCACTGGCGTATCTATATACTGCAGCTTCAATAAAGTACACTTAATAACTATTTTGTTATATGATGTGATTATACTGGTGTTCAGTAAAGAATAATAACGAAGCAGTAGATAGGGCCCATCGATCATCATTCTCATTCCAACCAAACTTCCTCTTTGCAGGCATATACAAATATAAAACTAATTATAATTAGTATATACCTTTATAGTTGATTTTTCCATTTTTAAGTTTTTTTTTTTCATGTCACATTACGGTAATGTTTATTTACATTTTTATTTCTTTGCATATTTTGTTATTTTTACATATCTCTATTATATTTTTTTGAATAAATATTTTTGATTTCATTTTATTTAACTGCACTTTTTATTTTTGTGACTAACATAAACTGGGAAAATTTTGTTTCAAATTCTAGTATCGGATGAAATTGGGTTTATAATCCATTTTACATAAATTATAAGTTTAGCGACGATTTTTATATAGAGGAAATACACGATTAAACATAGAAATGTTTAATATATAGCTATGTGCTTATATCCTAATTGAGAATGACATTATAATAAATACCTTTGATTTTAGCATTGGGAGGGATACATAAATCGAACAAAAATATTAAATTTTATTCATACAAAATAATGATAAAAAAATATAATGAAATCGTGGACACTGCATGCTCCCTGTGCTATGATAAAAGGAATGTGTGCTTTGCGATATATTTGGTAAGACGTTTGTTAGGACATTTAGGGTTAGTGACATTATTAGGTAATCTTACAATGATCATTCAGCCCATAAATCAACGTATTGGGATACGTTACATTATAGTTGTTTGTCATATTTGTATAGAATTATTAATATAACTCACTGTATACTGTTACGCAGCTTAATATTCATCTAATTTCAGCAATAAATACTTTAGCGAATAATATTCATACAACATGACAAAGCAACCATAGAACTATGACTTGTAGATTGTATAAAAATAATTTTCGCATTCGCAACGATGTCAACATTAATTACGTAAATACAACACAATAATATGAGATTCCCGAGAAAAGCGATGCACCTAAAGCACTGTGTCACGCATACGTACGCTGTGAATTCATACCACTCAGGTCTCATGTTTTGTGCACGAGTTGCTTTAGTATAAAAGGGAAGCAAGGGTTAATTGTTTATGACTGTATTTCAACACCTGCATCTAATTTTATTTATAAAAAACGAATGTCGATCCAGACAACAGTTCCTGTTCGTACCAAAGCGCGACTATTTTTCTTATGATTTTGTTTCTGATTGGCAATATTCACTTAAACAGAAGGAAATATTAACACGGTGTGGTGTCGTGTGATTGTGCGTGTACTGAGGCGTGAATTGTGAGCAGGTTACGGTGGAGTGCCTGCTATCCGACCACTGGAGACGTTGCACAATGCGCTGTCTCTGCGTCAACTGGACGCGTTTCTGGAGCGCGTGACCGCCGCGCCAGTGCTGGCGGGCACGCCGCCGCACGCCGCTCCCGGCGCCAGCGCACTGCCTGATACGCCCGCGGACACCGCAAAGCGATCGCCTACCAACAGTGAGTCTACGAATGTGCACGTATCGCCCCCGAAAACAAAAAGATGTCAAAAGCGTGCGCTAATCTAAACTATAGCACAACTGTTTAGTCGCATTCTGATTCCTATGAGCTTATATGGAGGTGCACTACTCGATTTTTAGTTGTGCAACTAAACAGTTGCGACAATCGCACAACAATTGTGTGTTTTTTTTAGTCAAAGCTGTATGCCCCCTTTAACTTTATCGGCACTCGACGAGCAGTGCTAAA